ACTTACCATTGGATCTCGAAGTCATCGTCATCACCCATTGGGTGATAGTTGCCCGACCAACGGAATTCTGAGGAATTTAAAGGATTCCTACCAGAGTGATCAATCTAAACAATTGTCTTTCCATTACTTATTGTTTCCCGAAATGTGCCCCAATTTATTTTCAAAAATGCGTGATCAAATTTCAACTTCTATTTTTTTCAAAATCCTTTTTCAAAATAAAGTGCATTTTTTTTTCTTTAAAATTTCAATGCTTCCCTTTTCTCTTTTTTTTCGAAAGTTTTGAGTTCGGATTTTATTCCAAGGAATCAACCAAACAATCACCCTTTAGCCAAATATCTTGTACATGAACCAAAATTTTATTTGAAATGAGAGACTCGATCATTACTTCCTTGTCTAACATTTCTCCATAAAATCAAGGTTCCCCCAAAGTTAGCGACCCAAACGTTTTTACATGATGAAAAGAACCTTCCCTAATTTCGGAACTCTATTCAAATTTTATTTTCAAAAAATTTTCAAAGAATTTTAGATCTTATTCCAAGAAATCAATCAAACAGTCACCTTATAGTCAAATGTCTTCTAAGGAAATTCAAAATTTCACTTCAAAGTGAAAGACTCGGTCATCACCTCCTCATCAACACTTTTCCATAAAATCAAATTCCCTCTAAAGGCAAAAACCTAAGGATTTCTATCTGATCAAAAACTTTTCATAATTTCTAAAAATCAACTCGGGTTTTCTTTCACAATTCTTTCCTCCCAAGGAGCTCTCGATCTTGTTCCATGTATCTAATCAAACAATTGTCTCCTTAGTCAAATGTCTTTCTAGGGGATTTCGAATTTTATTCAAAATTGAAGATTTGGTCACCACTTCCTTATCTACCATTTTTCATAAAAGTCGAAATTCCCCCAAAAGTCAATGACTTAAAGATTCTTATTCGATCAAACACCTTCCATAATCTCCGAGGCTCTACTTAAGTTGGAAAGTTCTTTTTTCTTTTTAGAAGTTATTCTTTAATCACATGTTTTCTTGGGGATTTAAATTTTAAAAAGCCAATCATTCTTTTCTTTTTCCTCTTCTTCTTTGATCACTAAGGTAAGAACCCAAATTCAAACTCAAATTCTTTAAAATTGGGAAACCACCCCCATAATTTACTACTGATTACTCAAATCATGCTCAAAACATGAATCACTGCCTAAATTGAACCCCCAAATCTTTGTAACTGCATCATTGCCCCCAAATAACTCGGATTGCCACAGAATCAAATCACTACCACGTCAGACTCCCAAGACTTTGGGAATGAAATCATTGTCTTTCTCGTTGTTACATCGCTGGAATCAAATCAAATCCTTTCCAAAATATCACACAAGGACATAATTTGCATTCGTGCCTATTTGGGGGGTAGGGTTGCCCTGTCATAATTTAGAAGTCAGACCTAGGATTCACTAAATCATTCAAAGAGGCAATAATACAATCCCGGAAATGAGGGTATCCTGCCCTAGTTTGGAAGCTGCTAATGCTCTCTCCATGCAAAAGGAGACAAGTTTGGTCACAAAAGGGCACATCAGTTGTTACTGTCAATATACCACTCCTTCCACAAGGAAATGATCAAACAGTACTAGTAGCATAGTCTCATGCTTGCCTGATTGACATAACATAACCCACGAATAGTGTCCGAGATACTATGCAACAAACCCGATGATAGGTGAATGGAACCAGTCAATTTTGTTTAACACTTACCATTGGATCTCGAAGTCATCGTCATCACCCATTGGGTGATAGTAGCTCGACCAAGGGAATTCTGAGGAATTTAAAGGATTTCTACCAAAGTGATCAATCTAAACAATTGTCCTTCCATTACTTATTGTTTCCCGAAATGTGCCCCAATTTATTTTCAAAAGTGCGTGATCAAATTTCAATTTTTTTTTTCAAAATCCTTTTTCTAAATAAAGTGCAATTTTTTTTTCTTCTTTAAAATTTCAATGTTTCCCTTTCCTCTTTTTTTTTTTTGAATGTTTTGAGGAGTTTGGATTTTATTCCAAGGAATCAACCAAACGATCGCCCTTTATCTAAATATCTTGTACAGGAACCAAAATTTTATTCGAAATGAGAGACTCGGTCATTACTTCCTTGTCTAACATTTCTCCATAAAATTAAGGTTCCCTCAAAGTCAGCGGCCCAAACGTTTTTACCTAATGAAAAGAACTTTCCATAATTTCGGAACTCTATTCAAATTTTATTTTCAAAAAATTTTAGTTCTTATTCCAAGAAATCAATCAAACAGTCACCTTATAGTCAAATGTTTTCTAAGGAAATTCAAAATTTCACTTCAAAGTGAAAGACTCGGTCATCACCTCTTCATCAACACTTTTCCATAAAATCAAATTACCTCTAAAGTCAAAAACCTAAGGATTTCTGTCTAATCAAAAACTTTTCATAATTTCTAAAATTCTACTTGGGTTTTCTTTCACAATTCTTTCCTTCCAAGGAGCTCTCGATCTTATTCCAAGTATCTAATCAAACAATTGTCTCCTTAGTCAAATGTCTTTCTAGGGGATTTCGAATTTTATTCAAAATTGAAGATTTGGTCACCACTTCCTTCTCTTCCATTTTTCATAAAAGTCGAAATTCCCCCTAAAATTTTGTTCTAAAAAAAAAGCCTTCCAAATACTTTATTGCAGCAGAAATTCATCAGTCTGTTAGGCCTAAAGTTACTTAACCTACAGGCCACTCTAATTAGCAATGACTTGGCCCCTAATTAAATCATGCAGACAATCAAGCTAAATCAAATAAACCTTTTACAGCTAACCTATAAACCCAGCCCATCTATCCTAATACCTTTTGTAAACTCAAACCACCTCTCTTCCTCTCTCTCCCTCAAAACACAGTTAATCATATTAGATGGAGATAGTGTGTTTCAAATGGAATTCATGAAGACATAATTGATTTGATATGATTAAGATGATCACATACAGATCTGTAAAACTTACGTTAGAGTTACTTGGGACAGATTTTTGATTGGCCATAAAAGTAGCCAATTCCACCCAACAAACTCGCAACTGCAGCCTTACCAGTGGAGATGGACTCAAAATCAAGCTGAAAACAACATATCATAATATCAGAACAGTTCATTTTATGCAAAATATAGATTTTGTACAATTGAATACAACTTAAACATAAAATGAAATGGCCACTGGGATTATTTGAACTGCTAGACATTTTATTTTGGTAAGCTAAGTAAGATTCATTTAAAAAAGGCATCAAGGGAATGCCATCCGTATACAAAAGAGGAGAAGAAAAAAAAACCCTATACATCTTCATGTGTATCAAAAAGCTCTACAAAATTTAAGAGTTGGTCAAGAAAAGAGATCATAGGAATTGTATAATTTTCCTTAAAATCTTGATCACAAAATTCAAGAATTGGTCAAGCTCTCCCTAAGCCTTGAAATAAAATGGAGACAAGCATTGTTCTTTTCAAACTGAGAGCTGAAAAAGTCTCCTTAAGCCTATGAACTGGCTGAATAACTTTTATCAACATATTCATAATTTTAAGTTTAAACACAATGAGACCATCCAAATAATAATAATAATAATAACAATAATAATAATAATAAAAACTGTATCTTAAGAATTGTATAATTTTCCTGCAGTCACCAATGTGACTAGGCTTATAGTGACATGTTACTTGCAACAAAACTATCAAAGACATGCCATGATCCTAAAAATTCTGCATACAATACACAAATATAAGGATTTCATATGAATGGATACCTCATCAGCCAAATTAAAGCATTTTTTGAATTTGTCATCAAATTCTTTTTCTTTCTCATCTAGTTGACTAGTCAGTAAGTTACCCAAAAGTATGAAGCAAAATTATCCCATCTTACAAAGCTGAAATAAATAGCTTGTGCTATTGAAAGTAAACAAAAAAATTACAAGAAATTGGGGTATAAGTCAACGTGTCCATACAAAAAGGATTGTAATATTGCGCACCAAAAAAAGAAATATAATTTCGGGAGGGAGGGTTCAACTTGTTTATGCAAAAGGAATATGATCCTACATTCAGAAGATATTTCAATTTCCCAAAGAGCGAAAAGTTCAAAAAATATTTAAATTTAAAATAAACAGGGAAATTTGGTCGTAGGACTGGGATACGTGGTCAGGAAAATGGTACCATTATGCTGAGTTCTTGTCAATGACATTGACATCATCACATTGCCTATTGACTTAAAATCTTGATCACAACGCACCTATCTTATCTCTACACCCTCCCGTGAGAATGACTGCACTACACCACTCACTTCTTTTAACAGCGTTAACAACTTCACTCTTCATTTCCTCTGCTAAATCAAATTAATGAACGTTATGAATTGACCTGAATCCCATCTCTATAACAATTCTTTGAAGTTTTTATTCTGGGTCTTTTAGACAACAATCATTCCCAAAGTTGTCTCCCCCCCCTCTCTCTCTCTCTCTTAATCAGCATGCCCGCCCGTTTACTCTCCTTTGTCTATTAAGTTGATCTTTTTCCTTCCTCACTGAACTTGTCCACCAAGTTAATTAAAAAATGTAAGTGAAGGTTTTCATGTAATCCTATATGTAGTCCTCTTGATTTCATGACTTCCTAGCATATTGCTAAATATTTTTAGTTGCCTCTTTTTAAATTGAAAAGAGGTTATTTACCTCAAATATAATTCTGCAGTCTTTCTTGTTTGGCAATACCAACAAGCAACCTGTTTTCTTGTGTTTCTAATAAGTTATACCAGTATTACTTATAAGGAAGTTTCATAAAGAATGAGACACTTGTAATCTTATAAACACAATGTTCACAATCAAGATAAAGGAAACATGCACAGAACTTGACAGAAGACACCTGTAAGGCTGCTGAGACGTTCTTTAAGTCTTGAATCTTTTACGCCAGTTCCAAATATAAAAGCTACATTTGTTCTGAAAGAAATCCTACCTAAGATCTGCATAAAAAAACAGAAAAGCATATGGGGTGGAAGAGAAATAGAAACCTGAGAATGACAATCATAGTCCGTGGACACATGTAACCTGTTACCTCCCTAACTGCCTACCTGAAATACTAAAATGTTTGAAGAATCATCGGTAGTGTCTGAGAGTTGCAAACGACCAAACTTCCTCACCTAACAACACATACAAGAGTGTGAGTGAGCAAGCAAGCAAGCGCGCACACACACACACACACAGAGCATAAGTGAAAGAACCAGTGCTGAAAACTAAAACACGAAACACTAGTACGATTATAACACTGTAAAATGGAAGCAAATGAATGTTTTACCAATAGCAGAAATCAACATGATTTAGCATGCAAAAAAAACAGCAGACAAATAAAACATTAATTCTTACTTGGGCTCCAAGATTTTGCTGGACAAGGTCTGATAAATTGTGAATGTGAGATGTCCTGAAGCCAGAATAATGGACTTCCACATCATCCTGCAAGAAATTGGTTTGAGATTAAAGCTGAATTAAAAATATTGTTGGGGCCACAAAATACATAAACATGGAGGAGCACAGGCATGCATGAGTAATTATTTCCTCTTTCACAATGAAGGTTCCTGTGCATCTATTTGACAGCATACCATTGATTCTAAATTTAGATTCCAACTGCCAACATCTGTTTGTGATCCAAAAGCCAGGAGAGAATTCTCACGAATGTTCAAGGTCTCCCTACTCAAACTCAAAGCGTTCCCATCTTCATCCGCAAGATAGAAGAAAAGGTGCACAGTTTGCATCTCCTCACTAAGCTTGGATCTAATAAAAATCAAAACAAATGAACGAAACATAAACCAGTAATACCATCCTACTTCTAGCAACTCCCAATTTAAGAATAGAAGATATTCAAGAATTCATGATATGAAACAAAAACGTGAAAACTATAAATTATGCTAAGTAAGAGAACATAAATGTAATTTACCAATTCTTACAGAGTATACAAAGTCGAATTTGAAAAAAAAAAAAGAATAAGAAAAAGAAAAAGAAAAAGAAAAAGAAAAAAGAGAACCTCACTGCCATAGTCCAAGAAGCGAGCAAGTTTCTTTAGTCATATTTGTAAACCATGACACGAGGCACAGATCTAAAGAGAGCTTCCTAGGCTATACTTCAAAGTGTGAAGCACGTGGCAAGCACATAGGTTTTGAACTTAAGAATAGCCACATCCTTATATATTGCTGAATTCATTAACAAATAAATATTTTTCTCAAAAATAAGACTTCTAAGATAAGAACGCATTCTAATCTTCATCCTGTCATTGTTTGTATCAATGATGTCATTAATTAAATTTAATTCATTCATTTCTTTGGGGGGTTTCAATAAATTGTTTGCAATTAAAATTCAACAGAACTAAACATTTTTTATGATCCTTTGTTTTCGTCTTTAGTCCTAAAATTCTATTTAATTTACAAAAATCAATTGTTAGCTGATGACATGATGTGTAATTCCTAAATATAGACCTTTTAAAATTTCCCCCCAAAAATATACATTTATTTGATAAATTTCCAAACACACATTTAACCCATGAGAAGTATTCATTCAGTACAAGTTTGCTTTCGACAATATAGAAGTACTGTTACAAAGCACCCACAATATAAAACTACTACTATAACAATGGGTAAATGTACTGGCAACACAAATACACAACCCAATCGCTAGTACTGATGAGTGTATTCTTACAAGGTCCCATAATTAACGCCTAAACTGCTAAAAATGCAAACCAATAATTCCCAGCATCTATACTGTGTAAAATTTCAAACAAATAAAAACCATAACATAGGAAAAAATGTGTGCAATTGCCATAAAATGGTCAATGACAGGTATATGGATGTTAATCAAGGCTAACACACATTTCTTTTTATGCAAACCAATAATTTCCACCTCAGATTCATATGTTATTTTCTTATAGGTTGTCTTGTAGAAAATCTCCAGTTTTGGGGCTATATCCACCAAACAAGACATGCTTATTAGAGGTATTTGATAAGACAAATGTAAGATTGGTGGGAAAGATATTTACTTCTCACTTTGCACATCAATTCGAACTGCCCAGTCCCCTCCATAGCCACTGCCATCTTCTTTGGATTTCAAAAAACTTGTCATCAATGTCATATCTTGGTCAACTAGCATTGACGTCCATAATCCCGTCCATTGTGACACGTCCAACCATATGTCTTCAATTCATCTGAATCTTGGCAGACATGTCGCATGAAATATCTTCCATCCTTTAAACCAAGCCACATCAATCCAGCAACCAGAGACTGTGGAGTCCTGACAATTACACCTGTTAATTTTATTTATTTTTTGATAAATAACTGTTAATTACAACCATCTTTACCACAATGGATAAAATTGAAAGGGTTAACAACCTTCACCGTGAATTTATGGAACCTCTTGGGATCGAGGAAACAATGCTCAAACACAATATATAAATATCACATATAATATAACACCAGTCATCCTCGACTCCTTTTATTTCAAATCAAAACACCCATTATTTTGACTCATAATTTTGAAAGCGACCTTGCTACACAATTCTGAATTAATTTCTATATGAAAATTATGTTCGTAAATCATTTTACAGTCATAAAAAAGGAATGTGCCGTGGACTTCGGCTGGGCGAGTATGGACCGTTGTCTGGCCCAAGTTTAGGCCCAACAAGTAATGACGCTCAATTAGCAAATATTGGCCCACTTTGAGGCCCATTGTTTAATTGAAGCGCATTTTGACAAACTTTGCTGTCCAACTGGCCCAGGCAAACTTGGAAAAAACCGGAGCACAAGCAATAATCAATATTTCTAAAACTAGTAATTAAGGTCGAAAATGAACCAAGCAATAGGTTGTTTAATTTTGATTTGATAATTTAACGAGTTTAAAATTATGGGTTATGCTACAGACCCCCAGTGGGGGTCAAACCCCAGTGACGTGGCGCACTGGGGTTGGTTGAAATCCAAAAATAAAAAATAAAAAAAAAAATTTGGGCCAATAGAAGCCGACCCCCAGCACCCCCAGCTGGGGGTCTAAGGCATTTTTGTAAAATTATATTTAAATTTGATTTTTTTATATAACGAATTGATTTTGAATGAGTTTTTAACAAGTTGTACATAAGTCGAGTTTAAATAACTTTATTTTGGGAACATAGAAAAAAAACCATCATATTGGTTTATTAAGGTTATATCACCTCTACTTTTTTGTACGTTTTCTTAAAAAAAAAAGCCAATAAATAGCTTTGTTAGCTTTTTTCCTACTTCCCAAAAGTCAAGTAGTAGAACTTAACAAGTTTATGTTTATGTTTATGTTTGACTTATTTACATAATAAGTTAATCTCGAATGATGAGTTTTTAACTTGATTTATTTAACGGCCATACTAGTAATTAAAATTCTACCAAAGGATGCTTTTCATGGCATTGAAAATTTATAAGGAAAGAAAGAAAAAAGAAAAATATTATTATTATTTTTCCATGTAAGCGAAAGTGTTTGTTAAATTTCACTTATCACTCGTTCTACCAAAATTTCTTTTGCCTCTGTCACTTTTAATAATTAATCTTTTATGGTTTAAATCAAGTTGCAATTAATGTCACATTTTCATTGTACATATGACCTTAATAAGTTGACAAAACTTATTATATGAGCCATAGGCATTAGCACCTTTATATTTTCATCAAAATTTCACTTTAATTCTTACATCTGTACCAAAATTTCACTTTGATATCTCCATTTTAAATTTGTTTTAGCTTCATTAACAGTAGATAAATAGAAAAATGACATCACAACTATCAAGTATAAAAAGATTAATTGTCACAATTAAGGCCAGGTTTGGCAAGTCCCACAAAAATCAAAAAAGTTAAAAAATTACACAAAAAGCAAAAAAGTCATTACTATTCACAAATAAAAAATATTAAAAAAATATTTTATACATTTTTGTAATACAAAAGTTTGAATTACACTGTCAGCCGTACTGCCGCAGTAGGAAGGCAGGTCATACACTTTTTGGGGGAAAAAAAAAATTTACATATATAAAGCCACAAAGTTTGATGGTAATGTTGGGTCCTTGGGGGCCCACTAAGGGTTCCGTTTTGATAATCCAAAGCGTTAATATGTAAAACTCGTTGAGTACTATATGTCTGTAAAAAATCACGTTGATCAGATATCATTAACTATATGATCAAATTAGTTTTGTATAAACAAAACGGATGGTGTGCTAGTTAACTGTTGAAAAAAAAACTAATCCAATCACATAGCTATCAATATCCGATCAACGTGATTTTTTACAGGCATATAATACTTGATGAGTTGTACATATTGATCGGTTCAGATTATTAAAATGGGATCTATGGTGGCCCCCATGGACCGACCATCATTGTCTAAACACTTTGCCTCGAATGAGGCAATAATTTGCTGTGTAAGACACGCTGCCCCAGCAAGGCAGCCCTCCAGTGCCTATGATTCTACCATTTTTATTCATAAGACAAAGCGTGGTATTATTCTTCTTCTTCTCTATGTGGATGATATGATCATCACTGGCAATGACACAGTGGGTATCTCTAGTCTCAAACAGTTTCTCAGCCGCCAATTTGAGATGAAGGATTTGGGTCTTCTCAGCTATTTTCTCGGCTTGGAAATCTCTCATGATCCGTCTGGTTACTTTCTTTCCCAAGCCAAGTATACTTCTGATCTCTTGGCTCGTGCTGGTCTTACCGATTTCAAGACTGCCTTTACTCCTGTTGATCTTCAGGCTCGTCTCACACCTCTTGATGGTCACCTGTTGTTTAATGCTACTTTATATCGTCAACTAGTTGGCAGTCTTGTCTATCTCATGGTTACTCGTCCAGACATTGCTTATGCTATTCATATTGTTAGTCAGTTCATGGCTGCTCCTTGCTCTCCGCACTATGATGCTCTAGTTCACATTTTACGATATCTCAAAGACACTATGTTTCATGGTCTTCACTACTCCGCTTACTCTTTCCTACAGTTACATGCATTTTCTGATGCTGATTGGGCAGAGGACCCTACTGATCGTCGTTCTACTACAGGAGTCTGTTTCTTCTTTAAAGCTAATTAATGATATAGATGATGTGAGGATGTGATATTCACAATGATATGTGTTTTTATCATGATGTAGTTTTAGTTTTGGGGATGCTTATCTATTTAATGTATTCAGCATTAAGTGGATGCTCCTTTGGCTAATGTATTGTTGTTACCGCTTTGTTGTACTTCAATTGTTTTACATTATAGTGTTTTGGTTAATACAGCTTCAAGATGAAGTTATACTCTCTAATGCTAAGAGATTGCGAATGACTCAAAGCAATGTGAAATTGATACTCTCTCTTTTTCTGTGTGCGCACCCTCAGTTTGCCCGCATTTTGGGTACGTATCATGGATTTATAATATTCAATTTCATACATGTGATTGCAGCTTCAAAGGCACTTTCAAGCTGATACTCTTCCCTGGATAAAAAGAATGAGACAGAAAAAGCAAGGTCTTCAGAGGCGCCTCTTAAGGGTAGGACCTCTTTTGGCTTTATTATTTATTTTACTTTGAGAACGGAGATGAATGTTCAAAAATTCGTTGTACAAGTAGTAAGGACGTGTCCGCATGGCCGGGTCAATTGTCGTCTTCTGTACTCCATGTGGTTAAGCAACATGGTTGTGAATCATTTTGGTAGTCTGTTTGAACAATTTTGTCTAATTTGCGTAATCTCTCTCTCTCTCTCTCTCTCTCTCTCTCTCCGGTACATTAGAGACCATAACTTTTTGGAGGGGGTAATCTTGCCAGTGGCAAGACTTTAACCCTAAAGCTCCTAGCAAGGTGCAAGGGTTCAAGTCTCTACCTATGCTTGATTTCTACCAGATCCGCTAGGCGACGCATACATTTGTCTGCTTTGCATTCTTGATCATTCATGTGAAAAATCAATGCATGTAGCACAGTGTACTTGTTTTTCTTATATGTTTGTTTGTATGTGGGGGTGTCAAAAGGTCATGAGAATAATAGAGGCATTGGAGGGTAAAGGTTTCAGAGTGCCTTTAATGAAAGGTGAAGCTGAATTGGCTAAGAAGTTGGCTGTAATAACTAGGCAGGTTGGTGTTCCTCGTCTTTCTTGTTTCATACATCCTATTCTTGTTGGCCTGTGGAAAAGCATCATATTGATTAGCACATACCTATACAGTTGAAAGGATCTAGAGCAGAGCTTTCTAGGAGGGTCCAAAATCTGCTTACTATGGCTCGTGTTCAGGCAAATGGTGGTGGTGGTGGTGGTTCCATTTATCTTCCGGGATCAACCAAAATACATGATCAGAGTCTTGTTGATATGCAGGAGGTGAGTGCCAATATTTGAAATGCTATTCTTGAGGCTAGAAGAGGTAGATATGGCGATTATGAGTTTTTCGTTCTTCCTTCTGCAATGTCAGTTAATAAGTGTGGATATGTCTAGAATGAAACGCATGGTTGTAATCTGTGTTCATTAAATGTGTGATGCTCTGATAAATGATAGTATTTTCTGATGCAGGTTTTACAACAGTAGACAGAAGCCATTGCAAGGCTAGGTAATGTGTTGAAGCGGGATATCAGGGACATGGAGATCATAATGGCTGAGGACAAGGAGATGACAGAAAATGGGAGTTAAAGACTGATATCTTGAATAATGGAAACAGTTTTTGCAATTTTCTAATAATGATTTTGGCGTTAAGACACCTTGCATTTGACTTGCTAGTGAAGTATTTTAAAAAAAGTGTTACACAAATTGCAATTGATTAGAGATCATTAGTTTGCATTTTAATTGTTGAGGGAGGGGTCATGTATAATCCTGCTAGACATAGCTAAATTCATTACAAATAATGCATCTGTTAGAAAGACTGGACTAATCTTGATTGCATCTGATTTTCATCTGAGACCATCCATAATCGATCCTCAAAATTCAAGCGTGAGGTTCAGCTCTCCAAACTTCCTGTTAATACTAGGGCCTTGTTTTGGTGAAAATTGTTTTTGGAAATCATTCTTTTCGCATTTGTAGTTGTTTGGAATGACAAAATGAAAAATTAAGCTTATTTGAGTAAAAAATATTTAACTTTTTGAATGGTGAAAAATGTTTTCTAGACAAATTTTAAGCCACACTATTACCATCCCATGATCACCATCACCACCTATTTGACCACCCCACCACCTTGCCGCTGCCGCCACCATTGCCATAAATGCATTATTTCCACCACCTCACCTTCATCACTAACACCGCCACTAACGTATTAGTTTCAAGATTGTAATTAAACATAAGAAAACATTTTTTACGAAAAAATTTAAAAATGTTTTCCCCTGAAACAGTAGAGCCTAACAGGAAATGGTTAAATCCAAAAAGAAAATTGTTTGAGAAGCAAAACTAAATGCCATAAATATTGGCTTGATTTTGGGGTCATTCTTAAACAACAATTTTTAATGGGGTCCATTCTGGTCAGCATATCAGTTGGTTTCATCCATGATCAATGTAAAACCAGCCTGAGAGAGGAGGATATTACAAACTCTCAATAACATCATCCACATATCACAACCAATAACTACAAACCTTACCTTTCAAATTAACTTGCGACAATAAGTATAGTGCATATCTTGAATTGGAGAGATTATACAGAACTAACAAGTTGATTTGTTTGTGTTCTTCTTTATCCTCTAATGACTTTATAATTTTCTTAGAAAATTACAAAATTGAGTCCCAAGTTCCTAACATTCACTATAAGCTTCTACCATGATCAGCAACACGAGCGATGTCCAGCCAGGAAATACGGGTGCACCTTTCCCCTTACTTTTCTTTTGATCAAACTGTTCCCAGAAATACCGTATCTGCTGGTAATTCTTCACAACGTTTTTGCCATAATAGAAATGAACAATACTCATCAGAATTGACTGAAGAGTTTAGATCAGAGGCATTGATTAAGAACTAAAAATGTCATACCACTTACCTAATCAAATTGCTCCTCAAGTCATTATAGATGATCTTGGCTTTGTCTCTATACGGTTCATTTTCTGCACGTGTCAATGCCACGCGTTCAGATTTTATTGAAAATCAGAGTTTTTTTTATTTTTATTTTTAATTTGTAATAGATAAATCTATGTTTGTATTTGTGTACCTTTAGAGTTATAGCGATCCCAATATTCCCTGTTGTTGTTTAACTGTAATCCGGACTCGGTTCCGTAGATTTGTTATGGTCTTATCCTCATTTCTATCCCTTACTCTTTGTGTTAGAGTTTTGGGCTGTGTTGGGCAAGTTGGGAATAAGTTGGTTGTGTTTGAAAGCTTTGAATTTTTGCCCAGGTTTTGGTCTCTCCGCTCGAGCAGCGATTTGACGCTCGAGCGGGCTTTTGTTGTTGCCTTTCTGCTCGAGCGGCAGTTTGGACGCTCGAGCGTGAATTTCCTTCTCTCAGCATTTTGGTCGTCTGCAGAAAATTCTGGGAGAGTGCATCCGGCGCTCGAGCGGATCTTTGGACGCTCGAGCGGGGTGTTGTACGCTCGAGCGGACCTGTTTTTATATCAGTCCGTGAAATCACTTTTTGATCACTTTTTGATTTCCTTTCTCTCTCTTACTTTTTCAAAACCTCCATTGGAGAGCACCTCACTCTAAAACCTAACTTCTTTCTTAGGATTGATCTAGTTAGAGTGTTTTCCTACCATTTGGCCTTTGTAAATGTTGTGTTGACTGTCGAGGGCTTCGTTTTGATCCGAAAAAATTGGGATTTGGAGCACTTCCGAGTTTTTCTCTTCTTCTCCTCGAGTTCTACATTTGAGGTAGGGATTTTCTTGTTCTTTTTCAATACTTCGTCTATAGATAGACATGTGGTAGTTTTGTAATGCATGAAAACCATACCTATGTTGGGTTGTTTGAAAATCATGAGGAAACCTAGAGTTGGTTGATTAAGAATGGATTTATTGTCTTTGGTTGTTCATTGGACTATTTGTGGCACAAAATAGCATGTTGTTGTTGAAACATAGACAAGCCCTAATTTACATGTGTCTTGATAAATTAAAAGAGGGGTTTTGTTCTTTGGGCAAATACTTGTGTATTTTGGGTCTCAAACGAGGTCTTTGTTGTTTATTGTTGATGATTGAACCTTTTTGGTCAATGTTGAAAAAGAGGGAGAAAAACCCTAACTTAATGATTATGACTTAATTTGCATAATTAATTTGGAAGGTTATGAAAGGAATGGAATTGATTTTGGGAAATTGAGAAAAGTGTTTTTCTTTGAAATAAGTGGTGGAACATGTTGATTTGGAAAATCATGAAAGTTGATTTTGAAAGTGAAGAACGAAACTTTAACTCTATGTAAGACATAGAAAATAAATATGGGAATTGGGTTGTTGTGTTATGCATGTCGAGTGCACTTATTTGGGGGAATTAGTTTGTAGCTACCATGCTTGGGTTGTTGATGGGTTTGGGATCTCATGATAATTGAGTTTGTTAATAGATGTACGATATACATGCATCTAGAGGTTTTGTGAGGTTTTGTCCTTGGTCATCGGTTGAGGATGTCACGGTTGCATTGAATTGTCGTGTATACATTACACCATTGTTGATTGAACATCTTATGTGATGAAATGTTGAGATGCATTATATATGTATACTTGTTAGGGAGGAGAGAGGGGTTGTACTCCAGTGTGTGTGAGAAGATAGGGGATGGACTCCACACACCTATGTGTTCATATACCTTAACACATTGTTGGTATCCGGATAATTTATATGTATGTTTTACAGAGGTTGGTTATGCCTTGTTGTATTATGATTGTTGGTGTTATACCCTACGCTGATAATCAGAGGTACCGTTACCTTCCAGCTAGCGCCTAGAGAACTAAATGCGCTGAGAATCTAAGGTACCACACCCTTCCAGCTAGCGCCTGGTAAATTGGTATGTTGTTGTGAGAGGTGTATCTTTGGCTTACTACGTACATAGCTAGTAGAGCAAAGTTTTGTTGTTGATATTTCACTGTGTTTGGGAATATCATGGATTGTGTTGATTACGGTCTTGGAGGGCCGAGTTGCCTCATTGGTTTATCTTATGCCTGTTGGTGAGTTGTTATCTCTTTTATAACAGTGCATGTATAGATTTGATTGTATCGGGAAGAAGCCAAAATGTCATATCTGTCTTTTGGAAAGTGTGAAGGAAAACGAATATTTTTTTAAAAGAAATATATATTTTGAAAAGGCATATTTGTGTATGTTTGGGAAATGGAAAAGAGTAGAGGACTTAGTGAAATTACTTCCTAAGTAATTGTTAATGTTATGAAAGATTGGGAACGGGGATTAATGAAAAGAAAAGAAAATTGAATCGCCTATGGCGTTGATTGAAATGGTTGTTTTCAAGAAAAGTTCATACTTATTTATATTTTGTGTAAACTGTCACATTACTATTCTAGTATGAGATTGAGCATTCATGATCATAGCTATCTGGATGTTGTTATTGTTGAGGGCCATGTTGAGATCCCTACTGGACTATATGTTCATCCCACATTGTTGAATCTTTTTCAGGTGTTTAGCAGGATGTGCTACAAGATTTGGATCTTCTTATTTGTTGGCCACGGGGCCTCTTTGTTGTAGGCGGAATGCCATATATGAAAAAGGGTTGTACCCTTCATTTGATTATTTAATGTTGTAAGCCTGAGGGCAACTTATTTAGTATACTCATGTTGTACTTAATTAGCATTCGAAAGAGAGAGTTGTTGTTCACTCCTTTTAGTTGAACATTTGAATTTATTTCCGCATGTTATCTCTGAAATTGAATTAAGTTAATGAATTTGGTAATGACTCCGAGTAATAAAAAGTGGGGCGTGACAAGAGTAATGGTGAAGCGAGGAAAGAATCATGTAGTTGATGTTCATCCAAATTGGGCCTCTCCAATAGGGTGCATCATGCTCCGTGTTGTATTTCATGTACATTGAGCTTTGGCATACAAGAGGAGTTTCACAAATTAATTTCTTTAGTAGTTCTAGAATAAACATGATATCATGCAAATAACAACATACACTAGAAGTTGAGTACACAAGTGAATGCGTGTGTAGAAATAGAAGACAGTTGTCACCGTCTTATGAAAAAAGAAATTTAAATGTAGATGGAGGAGAAAAAAATTGAAATAAGAAACTCCGCAGTTACATAGGTGGGAATTTGGGCATGAGAAAATATGTGACATAGGCGCTCACACCAAGTTGATCGTGTGTTTTATATAATAGAATAGATGTATGGATAAAGGAGCTCATAAATGATGCACTACTTGAGAAACTTCCATCACCTTGTTTTGGAAAGAGAGCGGAGTCCATAATCAGTCCATAAAGTGCTCCGGTTTGAAATGAGATTCAGTTGTTGTTCTAGGATCGTTGAGTCCTGTATGTGCATTTGTAAATGCGAATGATATGTAATCACCAATTGAAAATAACTTTAAGGCTGTATTTGGATCATGGATTTGGTTAGTGATTTGCTGAGGGAAAAGGAATGGAAATGTGAAATAACATCAGCTCGTATTCCATTCACATTTCTCTTCTCATTTCCTTTCCCTACACAAATCTCCACCTAAATCCAAGATCCAAACACAACCCAAATGAAGGAATGGGGATTTTTTTTGTTGAATTAGAGCTTCATACTACGACAGTGTAGAGGTAAGAAACACTGAACAAAAGCACAAATAGATTGAGAAAACATTGCTTCGTGATGAGATCCTTCATGCAACTTACAAGTGGAATAACCTTCGCCACAAATGGAAAAAGGCAGACATAGCCAATATGAGGAACAAACCTCAATCTTCGCTGTTCTAAAACTTCCTGGACGAGCTCTCGACTTAGGTAGATATATGGTGAACCCATAAGCTTGATAGGTTAGAGCAGGTGCACTGATTAAGGGATTCCTACAGCATATTGATTAGGATCAATTTTGATCTGATTCAGCTCAGCCTTATGGATTGGCTTTAGTTGACTTGTATACATCATGTGCAGAGGCTGCGCCCCTTTATGTGTTTTTTTTAAAAAAATTTTAATAATATTTTCTTCTCAAAAAAAGGAAAAAAGAGAAAGAAATAGAGATCCTACTAGTGTACAAGACTACACAACTCCCAATATTTGAACCAAAAAATACTGCTTGAGAACTCATATTCCATATCATGCCCAATATTGAATATCATTCCCTGTTTAAAAGCCCATAAGTAAAAGGAAATAACGAGCATATTTAATTGGAAAAGATCACAAAAACCACATTTTTTCACAGCCTTTATCACTGCCCCCATCACAATGAGAGGGCAGGGGAAAAGTTGGTGTCCTTAGTAGGGCTGTATTTAATTATTTCAGAAATTTCATTAAATCATGTGGAGTGGAACCTTAGGACTTAATTTGCGCATGGTTGCGTTGTCTCTTCCATGCCAAAAATAGCTGCTCATATTCTTGCCTGTTAATCAAAGCACTGACTTAGAAAAGAAAATACTCACAGAAGTAAGAAACATATAAGCATATATCTTATCTTTCTCAGAAATAATGATCCAAGTTGAAACATATTTTGCAGGAATTGTGAATGTCCTTTTTTTGTTTTTGTTTTTTTGATTAGCAACAAAGAACAAAATTCTACTAATAATAGAAAAAAAGAAAAATATTCAAAATGAAAGAAAAAATAAATTGTGAATGCGTTCTCTATATAGTCAAACTCAACAGAGTCGCAAGGATCTTACTTTGCTTGGCTACATGAATAACCATTCGTCCTTTTGCTCACTTCTTTGCTATTCATGGTTTAAAATGTCTGACTAAAGGGGTAGCAGGGTCCATCAGACACATTGTTGACAGATCAATATGATGTGAAATGTGGAAAGTTTATCCTATCATCAAGACGTCTAGAGGAGACGGGCAACATCCATTGGAATGCCCAATTTTGGATTGGTGGTAGAGTTTTCCAGTGATATCTCCAAATGGAAAAAATTAACAATGCTAGGGATATTCAACTAACAATCTTATTACTAACACAACTCATAAGCTTTAATGGATCTACCATCACTTGGCATGGGACCTGCATAAACTTGTTAGTGTGTTGATAAAACTGTTCGTATCCCTAACATTTCTCAAAAATTAATCACCCAATGAGAGAGAAATAAAAATAAAAATAAAACTCCAGATTTACCTAATTGCGTAGTATTAAACCATTGAAACCATGCTTCAAGGCGAACAAATGCCCACTCTAAGACAGAAGAAATCTGATCCCTCTCGGTGGCTGTAAACTTGTTTCTTTTCATGCCACAAACTAAATCTGAAAAAAGTGAAGTTTTGAGCTTTGATTAAAAAATGTCTACATCAATATATATATATATATATATATTGTGATGAATAAGGAATTTTTTTATTAGAAAAAAGCACCAAGATGATGCTAAAGAACATCATGATATCATATTATTCTGTAGCAAATATATGAACATACCAAGAATACACACAGATAGACTATAGCTCAACTTAAATTAGAAAGAATGAAATATTACAAAACTTCAATACTAAAAATAATGCATAATTACAATTGGGTTAGATGTCGCTGACCAGGTACAGAGAAGATGTAAATAGAGTTAATTATTTGTTTTATGTGGATGTATGTTAAAAGGATCATCTTCAACATGATTACAATGAAAATAACCCTTTTACTTGAGAAAAAATTCTTCAAGCTCGCAAGTCATAAGCCCCCTCCCCTCTTCTTTATTTATTTATGTTACAAAGTATTGTTGCAGCACATACAGTGAATAGTTGAAACACTCTCTTAAGTTGTGACCAAATGATGAAACATAGTTTCTGATATATAACATGTTTTTCCTACCCCTCACAATCAAGTTGTCACTAGAACCCTACAACTTCATATTTGAATCATCTGCTGTAATTTGTACCTCAATGCAAATAAATGATCCATTTAGATGTACCATATATTTAGTTATGAACTTATATGATTTAATGTCATAACCAATACTATATTAGTCATAATTACTATTATATTGACTCATAACTTAGTTATATTCAGTTATTTATTTATACCATATTACCTCATAATCAAGTCATAACTAAATTATTTAAATAATTTAACTCTCAAATAGGCAACCGGTGTAGCTGGTTACAAGGGGAAGCAAAATTGAATCAGCCGTGTTTGGCCCTTTTGTTGGCTCTTCTCCTCCCTCTTCTCTTCTGCCATAGCCGAAGCTTTCGAGGACTATCAGCCTCGTCGGCTATCCGGGCTTCAGCCATGTCGACATCTTCTTCACAAGCTCTCACTCTCTAGATGTCTCCACCATGGGTTTGTGAGCAAAGACCTAGTCATCATCTTTTCCCTTCCCTTCCAGTCGAATCGAATTTTTTCGAGAACTCCTTTCTGTAGTTCAGGTTTGTTGCTAACTCTAAGCTTCATCTAAATGTGCCGTTGGTTCTTTGATTTCAAAACCCTAACCATTGAATATCTGTTATTAATTTTTTTTATCAGTCAAAATTAATATCCATAGCTACCTAAGATAGTTGTGCCATTGGGGCTTTGATTTCAAAACCGTAACAAGTTGTGTAGATAGCTGCTTCCATGCCTTACAAGTTGTGTCGGTGTATGGTTTCTATGTTGTTCTTTTTCTTTAATTTAATTTATGTGTAAATTATGTACACCAACTGTTTGCTAATATGTCCTCGAAAATAGAAAATAGAAAATCTGTTGGTGTCTCAACCATGAATAAAGAGGCATTCTAACTACCAGCCACCAAAATTAACAGCTGATCTTCCTTGGAACAAGTTGCATAACACAATGATTTTTATGTTCAAAACAGACAAGTGAAAACAAATTTTGTATTATTCTATGATGTGGTTTATTGAAGAAAGGAGTATTTAATTACATAGCTGGAAGTAATACCATATCTACCATAAAATATTTCACTTCCTCAAGTGGATTTAATCAGAAAAAATGTAAAACATTCATTCTACTGGTAGATTCCAATACCTTGTGTAGTGTAGGGCCTTATTTTGACAAATTAATATGGCAGATAGACCTCCTGCAAAACATAGATAAATTCCCATCAATCAAAGCTCTTTCAAACAGAATTTTATGCCAATTAACAAAATGAAACTGGGACCAAATTAACAAAATTTCAAGAGGCGAATGCATACTAAGACGAGTAGTTCACAGACCAAATTGGTTGAAGATGGTAAGGTTGCTACAGATTCAGTCAGTCAACTCTCGGGTAAGGTTCATTCACTTCTTCGAAAAATTCAAGCCTTTGTCCCCATGCTTGATGTCTACGTATTTATGGATGTGTTCGTAAACGATTTATTCTTTATGCTTTGATTTTAATTTTAATATATTAATTATGTTTTAGAATTTTGATTAATTATAAATTTTAAGATTTAGGAATGCAACAAAAGTATGTTGAATTGGAGTGAAGGAGAATTGGGTGAAAGCATATATATGTCAAGTTTTCATTGGGTAGTTATTTGAATAAAGGAAATGGTTCTTCCTGCTTAACTTGCATTTTTGGAAACGCTGTTAGTTACAAGGAAGTTTTTTTTTTGTTTCTTATTTTCAACGTCAAAGTAACAGCTTGATAACTATTGTTCTTTTTTAATTGCTTTACTTTCATATGATGTAAATTGTTAGTATTTTGTCTCTTTTGTGTTTTTGTTCTTGGTTTTCTTCTCCTATATTGTTTTAGACGGTTAAGATGTGAAATAATTTTCTCTTGTTTTCTTCAGTACATTTGAGGAGTTCATTATGTTCATCGGTGAGACCATATTCACCTTCATCTTTGTGTCATTCTTTATTCTTTTGTGACTCGGAAATTAATTGGGATTGAAATGTTTAGGGATTAGGAATTATATTTAGAAGAATATGAAAATAGCAGTAGCAAGAATTCTTAGGACTAACTCAGGAATGCATCAGAAGTTAAAAATATTGTTTCTTCATTACATTTGTGAGTTTATCTTAATTTTTTGAGCATACACCATCAAGTCGAATAACTGATTGATAGGATCTTAATTTTTTGGGCATTCTACTCATTATACTTGATAGAGCTAATTCTCAGAGCCATTTTCCTATCAAGTATGGCATTGATGGCTTGGATGGGAGTTTGATGGACCCTGATTAGCAACCATTTGCAATTTATTATTGAAAAGAATGACTGATGTGAGATGATATGCTTGATGCCTTGTGTGACTTCATAATAATGAGATGGTTGATTGCTGGCCACTGGCCGAGTTTATGCCATGTTCTTGTGTTAGTATACTTTAGGTAAAAAAATCTTTCCTCCATGTTTCAGGCCCTTTGAGTTTGAGGTCTGGTAATTGTAAGGAAATAGAAATGTGTATCTAGCATATAAGGCCTATGCTAAAGTATGTATTTAGTTGCTTAAGTTGTTGTTGTGCTCTTAAAGATTAAGA